GCCACTTCCGGTGTTTTTCTTTTTGCTTAAGTGGTGCTGAGGAATCGAACTCAGGGCCTCAGGCATGCAAGGCAAGCGCTCTACCACTGAGCCACCTTCCCAGCCCCTTTTTTTTTTTTTGTCAGTCATGGAGCTTGAACTCTGGGCCTGGGCACTGTCCCTCAGCTCTTCAGCTCAAGGCGAGCGCTCTACCACTTAAGCCACAGCGCCACTTCCTCCATGAGACTCTTATCTCCAATAAACCACCAGAAAAGTGGAAGTGGCACTGTGGTTCAAGTGGTAGAGTGCTTGCCTTGAGCTGAAGAGCTGAGGGACAGTGCCCAGGCCCAGAGTTCAAGCTCCATGACCCTTCCCCCCCACCCCCCCACCCCCCCCCACACACACACAAAGGCAATTTAAAGGCTGTATTTTGTATTTGCTGGGCCTGAGAATTGACTAAAAGCTGGGTGCCCAGCCCAGTCTCCCTCTTGCACCTGTGCTTTGTGAACTGAGTTTTTCCCTGCAGTCACCTTCTAACCCCCTTGGGCTCCAGGAAAAAACAAGACTCACTGACAAGCATTTTGTGACTGAAGGTATAACTGCCCCTCCAAGAGGCCATGGCAGCCATCTTACCATCCTGAAGAAAACAAGAATAACAGCCAAAACCTACACACTATCCCTTTTGCTCCAGAGACAAAGACAGAGCTAAAGGTCCACCAGTCCTATCTGTGACTTGAGACTGTTTTTAACTATGTCCCCTTACTCCTAATTCTCAATATTTGACCCAAGGTCACATCTAGACCTCAAAGACAGATGATTACTGAAGAGCTGTCTTCCCACTACCACTGCCTTGCAAAGAGTTTTGGGGCTTGGGTGGTTGGCTGTGTGAAATAAGGGAGAGAGAGGCCTGTTCATAAAGGTTGGTTGACATGCTGATACAAAGTATGTCAGATAAAACAGCAGCCATAGGACCTCCCTGAGATAGGACCTTTTCCTAAAGTAGATTTCCTTCAAGCTTGGAAATTTTTTTTTTTTTTTTTTACAGAAGGACACAGTACAAAGCAACTCTATGTATTTAGCTGCTCAGAATCAGCTACTGAAATAGGCTAAAGTAGTATATTTTAAAACTGGGGGGACGGGCTGGGAAGGTGGCTCAGTGGTAGAGCGCTTGCCTTGCATGCCTGAGGCCCTGGGTTTGATTCCTCAGCACCACATAAGCAAAAAGAAAAAAGCCGGAAGTGGTGCTGTGGCTCAAGTGGTAGAGCACTAGCCTTGAGCTGAAGAGCTCAAGAGTTCAGGCCCCAGGACTGGACCCCCCCCCAAAAAAAAAAAAAAAGAATCACTTGTTACTATCAGCACCACTTCTGGTTTTCTGGTGGTTAATTGGAGATAAGAGTTGCATGGACTTTCGTGCCTGGGCTGGCTTTTTTGTTGTTGTTGTTGATGGTGGTGGTCATGGCCTTGAACTCTGGGCCTGGGCACTGTCCCTCAGCTCCTCAGCTCAGGCTAGCACTTTACCACTTGAGCCACATTGCCACTTATGGTTTTCTGAGTGGTTTATTAGAGATAAAAGTCTCATGGACTTTCCTGCCTGGGCTAGTTTTGTATCATGATCCTCAGATCTTAGCCTCCTAAGTAGCTAGGATTAGAGGTGTGAGCCACCAGCAACGCCCGGCACGGCACGTATCAGTTTTCTGTAATGTAGAGTAGTTAAATAATTTACTCAAAGACAATGAAATCACAGCTACTACAAATTCTCAGCACTTGGAAGTTCAGGCAGGGAGATCTTAAGTTGGAAACCAGCCTGGGCCACACAGTCAGACCTTGTCTGAAAAAAAGAAGACAAGTTGGGCACTGGTGTTTCATGTCTAAAATCTTAGCTAGTAGACTTAAACTCATAGTGTAAGTCTCTATCTGAAAAGCAACTTAAAGCCAAAAGTGCTGAAATATGGCTCAAGTGGTAGAGTACCAGCTTGGCTGGTACAAGGCCTTGTGTTCATCCCACCTACTGGAAAAAAAAAAAAAAAGATGAGCTCTTTCAAAACATGTTTCTAGAGGTTGAGACTTATATAAACTAAAGATTTCAACAAACAGGTTTATTGCTCAGGGCCGTGAAGCCATCTTAGTTTTGTGACCTGGAGGCCATGCCTGGATCCTAGGTCACCACCTTCATTGGAAGATGCCAGTTCTCCATACACCAGAAATAACCAGCTCAGGCTGGCTTTGAACCATGACCCTCAGATCTCAGCCTCCTGAGTAGCTAGGATTACAGGAGTAAACCACTAATGCCTGGCTGTGAGACTCAGCTCCAATTAACCAATAGAAAACTGGACGTGGTGCTGTGGCTCAAGGTTGTAGAGTGCTAGCCTTGAACAAAATGGCTGAGAGGGCTGGGAAGTTGGCTCAGTGGTAGAGTGCTTGCCTTGCATGCATGAGGCCCTGGGTTCGATTCTTCAGCACCACATAAGCAGAAAAAGCCAGAAGTGACGCTGTGCCCAAGTGGTAGAGGGCTAACCTTGAGCTGAAGAGCTGAGGGACAGCGCCCAGGCCCAGAGTTCAGGCCCATAACTGAAAAAAAAAAACCAAAAAAACCAAAAGGGCTGAGAGACAGCACCCAGGCCTTGAGTTCAAGCCCCATGACTGATAAAACAAAAACCCCCATGGAAAAAGAGCTGAAGGCATGGTTCATCAGTAGAACACCAACCTAACAAGTGCAAGGTCCTGAATTCAAATCCTAGTACTGCCTTGTCCACAAGGAAGCATGGAAGCATGAAATCTAGAGCTAGACAGTTCTAGCTACGCCATATTGGGAAAGGGGCAGAGGACAAATTACCCACACAGAACTCCCATAAGACAGTGTCCATGGTCAAAACACAGTTATATCCAAAGATGGCAGGTGACTGTTTTTTTTCTTGTTGTTGTTTTGTTTTGTTTTTTACTTTCTTTGTACTTTTCCTGTATCGTTTAAGTGTGCCCTCAAAGAGTGGACTACATTTTTAAAAAGGGAAGACAGTTTTTATTGAGGGGAAAAAAATAGAGTTTTTGTGATGAAAAGAATCAAAGTAGGGGAGGGGAGGGTGTGCACTTCCCCCCCCCCCCAGTCATGGGGCTTGAACTCTGAGCCTGGGCGCTGTCCCTCAGCTCTTCAGTCAAGGGTAGCACACTCTACCACTTGGGCCGAAGCATCACTTCTAGTTTTCTGGTGATTTATTGGAGATGAGAGTCTCACGGACTTCCCTGCTCAGGCTGGCTTTGAACCTAGATCCTCAGATCTCAGCCTCTTGAGTAGCTAGGATTACAGGCGTGAGACACTGGCTCCCAGTGTGAGGGCGTGCACTTTTATTTTTGTTTTGCCAATCCTGGGGCTTGAGCTCAGGACCTGAGCACTGTCTTTGAGCTTATTTTTTCTCAAGGCTAGTGCTCTACCACTTGAGTCACAGCACCACTTCTGGCGTTTTCTTTTTTTTGGTCCGGTTGTGGGGCCTGAACTCTGGGCTTGGGCGCTGTCCCTCAGCTCTTCAGCTCAAGGCTAGCGCTCTACCGCTTGAGTCACAGCGCCACTTCTGGCTTTTTTCTTTTTGCTTATGTGGTGCTGAGGAATCGAACCCAGGGCCTCAGGCATGCAAGGCAAGCGCTCTACCACTGAGCCATCTTCCCAGCCCCCACTTTTGGCATTTTCTGTGTATGTGGTACTGAGGAATTGAACCCAAGGCTTTATGCATACTAGGCATATCTCCAGCTCTGCACTTTTATTATTTTAGACAGGAGATTGCAGGGAGAGGTGCTGTGACCCCTGGAATGAGGGAAACTGGATCAGCCACTCGGCCTGCTGAGATTTCTAAACTACTACTGGAAGAGAGCTGCAGAGCCCCACCCACAGGAGTGGCCGCTTAAACAACCCTGGAATCCAGGCAGCCTTTAGAATGAAGTCTGAGAGGCCCTGGTCAGGACTGGTGGCCAAGTTCTACTGTGAGATGGAAAAGAAACTTTCAGAACAAAGGGTATAATGGTGGTGGAGGCATTTTTAATATACCTTTATGTTTTGTTTTTACTTTTTTTTTTCTAACTTTGTTTTCCTGTGGTAGTGGGATCTGAACTAAGGCCTCTAAGCTTGTTACTTAGATATTGTTCCAATTGAGCCACAACTCATTTTGATGTTTCATGCAGCTGGAGTCGCAAAGACACTTCTGTCCAGACTGGCTTTGAACTGACATTTTCTGGATCTCGGCCTCCTGAGTAGCTAGGATTACAGGTGTGAGCTACCAGCTTCTTGTTTTGTTTTGAGAAAGGGAATTGCTGTGTAGCTCAGTCTAGCATGCAGTTCTCCATCCTCCTGCTTGTGAGAGAATGCTGGGGTTACAGATGTACACCACTATGCCTGGCTAGGAGAAATAACGTCTAATGCTCCAAAGCTCAGTAGGGTTAGGATGGTTGGCAACTAATTATACATTTCAAAATGGCTAGTAGAGGGGCTGGGCATGGTAGTGAACATCTGTAATCCCAGTTACTGGGGAAACAGAGGACAGTGCACAGACTCTGAATCCAAGCCCTAGGACTGGCACAAAACGAAAAAAAGGAAGTAAGGAAAAAGACAGGCACTCTAATCCTAGCTACTCAAGAGGCTGGGATCTGAGGATCATGGTTCAAAGCCAGCCTGGGTAGGAAAGTCTATGAGACCCTTATCTCCAATTAGCCACCAGAAAACTGCAAGTGGAGCTGTGGCTTAAAGTGGTAGAGCACTAGCCTTGAGCAAAAGAGCTCAGGAACTGTGCCCAGGGCCTTGAGTTCAAGCCCCACTACCGACAAAAATTTAAAATAAAGCAATAATCAGAAGGAGTCAGTAATGAACAAAAGGCTTCTACGAAAACAAAACAGATGAAGGAAGACTACACATACCTGAAATAAACTTTGGGTTCAGCGTCCCCCTCCCTGTTCCCCCTTCCGCGGCAAGGACTACATTTCCCAGAAGGCCCAGCTCACCGGGCATGCGCAGCAGGCCGCGTCCCTCGCGCGGAGGCAGCGACGCAGAGTTTCCCTCGGGCCGCCTCCCGCTCGGCTCGCTCGGAGTCGGCAGCGCCGCCGTAGCTGCCCGGGCCGCAGCGGGGCGCGGCGGTTCCCACAGCTACGGTGAGAAAGGGCGGCCCACCTGCTCGTCGTCCGGGCCTGGGGTCTCGAGGGTGGCAGAGGGGGCCCCGAGACGAGCCGGAGCGGGCAGCGGGCGGTCGCGCGGGCTAGGCAGGGCCGGGGTCGAGGTCCCGGGGGTCCCGGGCGTCTCCGGGGTCCCGGGCGCGGGGTCGAAGCTGGGGGCGCCGCCGGCCGGCAGGGGACGGGCGCGCCCCAGGACCCGGGGTCCCGCAGGACCCGGGGTGGCGGCGGGGACGGAGCGCGGGACTCCCGATCCCGGGTGCGAGTTCTGCCGGGCGGGGACCGGGGCGGAGGACCCGGGCCGCACTCGGCGCCCTTTGCCCCCCTAACTCCGGCTTCTCCTGCCGGGGCCAGCTTCCCGGAAGCCCCGCTTCTGGGCCTCAGAGTCACTTTTGGGGAGTGCGTCGTGAAAGGTGAAGGGGAGTTAGTTAGAACCCGCTTCCCTGTCGGGGAGCCGCGCTCGACCCCGCCCTCCTCCCCTCCCCGGCGGGGTCGCCGCTCCCGGGTGCTAGCCGCGGGGACCTACACGTCGAGGTGAGGACCCTGGCGGCCACCCTGGGACTCAAAGAGTGCGTGCCGTCCTAGCAACTCTAGGGTTCCAGAAAAGTACACGTTCTGGTAACCGAAATCACACGTTCTGGTCCCCGAAATCAGGGCTCGGTATATTTAGGTTTATCCGGGTAGCTAGGCTCTTTGTTCATTTGCTGTGTGACTTTGGGAACTTTTTTTTTTTTTTTTTTCCCTCCTCTTTTCTTGGGTGCCTTTGCTGCAGACTGGCCTCTGAAGTTGTCTCTGGCCTTTCTTTCTTTCTTTCTTTTTTTTTTTTTTAAGGCTATATTTGGCCCCTTGGTGTCAACGCCTCACACCTGTAATCCTGGCTACTCTGGTGGCTGAGATCTGAGGATCACAGTTCAAAGCCTGCCCAGGCAGCAAAACAAAACAAAACACTTGTGAGACTCTCCAGTTAACTACCAAAAAGCGGGAAGTAGAGCTGTGACTCAAGTGGTTGAGTGCTAAGCCTTGTGCAAAAAGAAGCTCAGGGACATTGCTCAGGCCCTGAGTTCAAGCCTTAGGACACACACCTCACACAAAAAGGCTACATTTTTTTTTTTTTGAACCAGTATACTGCACACACAGAGCTACATTTTTTTTTTTTAAATCATCACACACAAACCTATATTAAAACAACAACCATCCCCTTGGTGGTTGGGTGGGCTGAGAAAAGTCCTTCTTAACCTTTTGCTCTGACCAAGAAAATAAATCTGATGATTTTTCGGTACCCAGCCACACAGCATATGATCCAACATCTGTCTCGTGTATTAGGTTTTTTTTCCCCCCACAAGGCTGTGTTCTCAGTTTAAAACTTGATCATCTTCTTGTTGGCAAAGGTGCCTTGGAATTTGTGTTGCTGAGTCAGCAAGCCCTTCAGATTTGCCAGTTTTTGTTGTTTGCATTTCATATCAAGATGGGAACTGAAACAAGTTATTCCTCCTAAAGATATGGTGTCTCCATCAAGAAGGGACGGTGTGTGCCAGCCCTGTGGAGAGACAAGGTGAGCGCCAGGGGGAATTTACTTTGCAGCCTTTTCAATCTGGTTTTCAAAAGAGAAGACGGGCACAGGTGGGGGAGGCAGAATTTGAAGTCTTTAGGAATGAAGTGAGCCCTGAGGGTTGGTGGTTGATTGTCAGCTGTCACATATAAATTCAAGTGGCTTCTTGCCAACTGCCTCTCCTGTCTAACCAGTCTTAGAGGACGCGTCCATTTTAAGACATGCTTTATGGGCTGGGAGTGGAGGACACAAGTCACGATGATGTCTATATTTGAACTGGAAATGTTCTTTTCTTTAGTGGCACCAACCTTTCCTGGGTGCCAGACAAAATCTGTCTTCTGGCATCTTTTTTTTTTTTTTTTGTGGAAATACATACCACTGTCAGTGACAATGTGTTGTCTGTGTTAGGTGATGAGCTGAATCACAGGGCAGAGCTCTTCTGCTCTAGGAGGGGTAGGGAATGAGGTCAGAAGGTTCTAGAAAGTGATAGTTGAGGTGAGTTCTGAAGAAAGTAGAAAGTGGGAAGAAAGTTTGGCAGAGGAGCCTTCCAAATGCAAAGTCATGAAGCTTCTGGATCCAGGCTGGCCACTGCCTTCGCTTACCAGCGCTCGCAATGGCTAGAGCAGTAAGTGGCTGGCATACGGTGTCTCCCAATGTTAAATGTACAAGCAGCTTGGTCCTCAGTGCAGTGGTGGTAGAGTGGCATTGAAGGAGTGGAACCTTTGAGAGGCAGAGCCTAGAGGAAGGTAATTAGGTCAAGAAGGCTCTACACTCATGAGGTACTAATGCTGGAGTTGCAGGTGGGTTGTGTCAACCAGGATAAAGCAAAGCTTTACATGTCTGTGTTTCTGCTTCTTTGTTTGTTGTGACTGATGTCTTAAGGATCATTTTTTATTTTTTTAATTTTGGTGTCAGTACAAGGGCTTGAACTTGGCCTGGATAATGTTTTTTTTTGTTTTGTTTTTGTTTTTTATCAAAAAGGCTGGTACTCTCAATGCCTGAGCCATACCTGCAGCTCTGACTTTTTTTTTTTTTTGTCAGTCGTGAGGCTTGAACTCAGGGCCTGGGCGCTATCCCTCAGCACTTCAGCTCAAGGCAAGTGCTCTACCCCTTGAACCACAATGCCACTTCTGGTTTATTGGAGGTAAGAGTCTCATGGACCTTCCTGTCTGGGCTGGCTTTGAACCATGATCCTTAGATCTCAGCCTCCTGAGTAGCTAGGATTATAGGCGAGATCCACCTACACCTGGCCCAGCTCTGATTTTTGCTGGTTAATTCTCTGACTTTTGCTGGTTAATTGGAGATTGTCTGCTTGGGCTGACTTTGAACCTCGATTCTCAGATCTCAGCCTCCTGAGCAGCTGGGATTAAGGCATGAGCCACAGTGCCTGAAGTGCCTCCACTTATAGTCATGAGTCAAATAAATCTCTAAATTACTCAGCACAAGGTGTTCTGCTATAGCAGCACAAAAAGGATGCTTTTTGTGCTCTGGGAAGCGAAAGGATTTTCCCCAGAATTCTTTCTTCTTTCTTCTTTTTTGTCCTAGGGCTTGAACTCTGGGCCTGAACGCTGTCCCTCAGCTCTTATCAGCTCAAGGAACATACTTGTGGGATTCTTCCTGACAGTCTCTTCCACTTTGTCAGCTGTTGGTACAGGAGGGAACCAATGAGAGCTTTTTCCCTCAGTTGTCCAGAGTCTTGGTAAAGATTTAAGTGGACACATGTAAAGGATATACCAGATACTGTGGGAAGTTGCTAAGGGGGTATGTTCTCCTTGGAGCCATCAAGGAAGGCATAGATTGGGCCTTGGGGCTGCTGCTATAGCTCAGGTGCCTACTATTCATGAGGCTGGGAGTTCCATTCCCTGCACCATTAAAAAAAAAAAAAAAAGCTAGGTGTGAAAGTATGGATAGGCTGGTGGGGATGGGATTCAGAGTGGAGCAGAGGCCAGGAGGTGGGGAAGACTGGCTGTGCATAGAAGCAGATGTCTTCGCTCTTGAGGACGCATCAGAATTGGGAGATAGATGAGAGAGGATACTGGAGGGAAGCACTCTGGCAATTACTGTTGATACGAAGGGAAAAGACATAATAAGGATGGGCTTTGTCCACCTAAGGAACTAGAACTTTATCCCCTAGACTGGGGAGGGGTGGAGGAAACAAATGGAAGAGACTAAGTACTGTACTTGAAGCTAGGTAGGATTGCTAGTACATGGCCTTTAATTCTAGATACTTGGGAGTTGGAAATAGGAGGATTGCTGTTGGAGGCAGTCTGGGCAAAAGTTATGCAACACTCTTTTTTTTTTTTTTTAAGTTTTTTTATCGGTCATGGGCCTGAACATTGGGCCTGGGCGCTGTCCCTCAAGGCTCAAGGCTAGTGTTTTACCACTTGAGCCACAGCGCCACTTCCAGCTTTTTCTGCTTATGTGGTGCTGAGGAATTGAACCCAGGGCCTCTTGCAGCCAAGCCACGCACTCTACCACTGAGCCACCTTCCCAGTCTGAAAAAAACTAAAAGCAAAAAATTTAGTATGGCTCCAGTGTTAGAATGCTTGCCTCGCAAGCCTTCCTTTAATGTAACGTTAAAAAAAGTACTTAATCTTGCATTTGTATAAGATGGACAAGGGGAGACAGAAGTAAGAGAAGCCAAGGTGCTATCTGGAAAAGGGTACCTTTTTTCCTTAGTACTGGGATTAAACCATTTTTTTTGAGCCACAGCTCCATTCTTAATTTTTGGTGTTTAATTGGAGGTAAGAGTCTCATGGACTTTCCTGCTTAGGTGGGTTTTGAACATTGATCCTCAGATCTCAGCCTCCTAACTACTCAAGCTAGGATTATAGGCATGAGCCATCTGCCTGGCTATTTCCACTTTCTTTCTTCTTTCTTCTTTTTTGTCCTAGGGCTTGAACTCTGGGCCTGGACGCTGTCCCTCAGCTCTTATCAGCTCAAGGCATGTGCTCTACCACTTGAGACATAGTGCCATTTCCAGTTTTCTGGTGGTTAATTGGAGATAAGAGTCTTATGGACTTTCCTGCCCTGGCTAGCTTTGAACAGCGATCCTCAGATCTCAGCCTCCTGAGTATCTAGGATTACAGATGTGAGCCACTGATGCCTGGCTCTACTTTTTTTAAGATACCTTTATTGATTGATCATCCTTAATTTTAGCATGGTGATGTTTTTGTTTTTATATTTGGTGTTCTTGGTCTTGTGTGAAGGGTATCTTTGCCTTTAAAGAACTTGGCCTCTAGGGGAGGGCCCTGAAGGAAGTTGTACTCAGATGTCAGGTGAGCATTGCTATTAGAAGTGTTTGCTTCCTACTGGGCTGAGGTGAATGAATGAAGGAGGGATTTGCAGGGAAGGAAGAGACAAGAAGTGGACACGTGAGATGAGCATTCTTAGTGGGGTTATGAGACAGTTTGGCCAGTTCTGGGCGCTGTTAGTAGGTACAGGTGGCTGGGGACAAGGGCTGTGGAGCTCAGGAGAGTGTTGTTGTGAGGCTATACATGGGTGATCTGCGTGCAGGACCTACTGATGGGGACAAGTGGAAAGAGAGAGGCCAGAAAGGCCAGGGCCTAACAGTCCAATGCCTTGCATGGTGCCAGGGTGCACTTGGGGCTCCTGGGGCTGGGGGGCCTCCAGGGCATGCTACTTACTATGCAGTGGGATGCTTTTACCCATCATCAGGTTCTGTTAGACGGCAGGCAGCCAGGAGAGCAAGTTCTCACTTTTGGAGAAATGCTGGTTTGGAGAAGTGTTTTCTACCCTAGGAGAGTGGAGGCACAGTGATAGATATTTGGAGTAGGGAGGAACGTGGGCTCTGCACATCACAGCCTGTGCAGCCCTTCACAGTTTTGTTCATAAAGTTTTATCAGAACACTCCAGTTAGTTTATATATTGCTGATGGAAAAATACCATATTGTAGGATGTTTAAGTTGCCTCTTGGTTGAGGCTTTTTTCAATTATCAATTATAATAATAATATTTTTCATAATTAAGAATACCCTATAGGGGCTGGGAATATGGCTAAGTGGTAGAATATGCTTATCATGCATGAAGCCCTGGGTTCGATTTCTCAGTACCACATAAATAGAAAAAGCCGGATGTGGCACTTTGGCTCAAGTGGTAGAGTGCTAGCTTTGAACAAAAAAATCTCAGTGCCCAGGCCCTGAGTTCAAGCCCCAAGACTGACAGGCCAGGTGTCCATAGCTCAAGCCTATAATTGTAGTTGATCTGAGGATCATGGTTCGGTCAGCCTAGGCAGGAAAATCCATGAGACTCTTATCTCTAGTAAGCTACCAAAAGGCTGGAAATGGCTCTTGAGCAAAAACAAGCTCTGGGAAAGTGCCTAGGCCCTGAGTTCAAGCCCTAGGACTGCTGTATGTGTATGGGGGTGTGTGCATGTGTGCTCTCACACACAAAAGAATTCCCTACGTAGCCCCTATCATTAGGTGCTGAAATAAAGTGGCCTTTTGAACTGCAGCTTTGTGCTGGCCAAGGCTGTTACAGACCATGAGTACACTGACTCAGGGCTGTATGGTAAGTAAATTCCTGGGTTCAAGTGGAACCCCAGCGGGCATGCCTGCCAACAAGAGAATGTCCCCTTCTTTGTCCTCTGGGACCTCCAGCTTGTAGTCTACCTGGACTCTGTCCAAAGGGAGTGACTGTTCATCATCTTGAGTCTCCAGTGCAGAGGCCCTGAGTCTATGCAGCCCTCATGCCTGCCTGGGAAGCTCGAGCCAAAGTTCCTGGCTCCTTTGTTGTAGAATGTGCGAGCTTGTTGCCCAGAGAAGATACACTGGAATATATCCATGGGCTGCCCAGGGAATGAATGGCAGCTCTGGAGACCCTGCCTCAGAGGGCGGGCCTCTGGCTTGTGCCTTGGGTGCTTACAGAAGCTTGTAATTTTAAGGAGCCAGCCTTGCCCAGGGTATCCCAAATCTTCTCCCTGGCAGCTCTGTGGCAGGTGTGTGCAGTGTTCTCCAGGGCCCTCCCCACCCTGTGCCCTAGGTGGCGGAGGTGAGAAAGGGCGGAGGCCCCACTTGGGGTACTTCATGCTGTCTTTCTCGGTCTCCTGTGTCGGCATTTCCATTTTACAGATGAGAGCGAGCTAGAGATGTGTTGAGTGTGACAGTGGAGACCTTGGGTTGCTTCCAGATGCTTCCAGGGGCCTGGTCTTCACATTCCCCTGCAGCTGTAGGGAGTGGCACAGCCTAGGGCAGTGTAGAAGCCTTGGCCCCAGCCTGTGGCTTTCCACATGACTGTGAGCAAGCGGGTGCAGCTGAGTCTGTTTCCACACCTGCAAAACAGGGAGCGTGTACCTAGGGGTGGGGGGAGCCAGCTATGGTGTGAATAGGATGGTGAGCCCAGCGTCCTGTGTGGATGTCTCACCACTTCTCCCTTCCTCCTTCTGCTAGCAGGAGCCCAGGCAGCATCCAGGCGAGCCTTGCTCTCTGTACAGCTACTTAGCAGGATATGTGTGACCTTGGAAAAGTCTGAGCTCGTCCTGCCTTGCCTTCCTCACCTAAAGTAGGAGACTTGCTACGAGACCATGGTACATTTGGTCACTTGGTTTGTTGGGCCCTGTCCTCATACTCTAAGAGCTAGTGCTGGGGGCAGTGTCAGGCACCCTGGCAGACCTCCTGTTGAGGGACAGCTTTGCTCATGTCTTCAGCAATGTTCTGAGCTACTACATGTAGATCCCTGAGTTGAGCACAGGCCCCTCACTAAGGCCCTGCTGGGTTCTTAACATACAGCTGTGAGCAGGGCACTCTTGTGGGGCTGGAGGCCAGGGGCAGCTATGCCCTTGTGTGGTTCAGTAGTGCTGAGTAAAGAGCTAGGAGCTCATGTGACAGCCATGTGCCAGGTGGCCAGGAGAAGCCTTCCTGAGCACAGAGGATGCAGCCAGGGCACAGGGTGTGGACCTGAGTTACTCGGAGAAGGATGTCCCGAGATGGGCAGGGGTTTGTGAGTGGGAGCCTGACAGTGGTCACTGAGGACTGGGGAAGCTTGGAGAGGCCCAAGGGGCACTTTCTTATTTTGGGCTTTTTCTGTGGTCAGTCTTGTGCAGGAGCAGCCTGGAGATGTGGAAAGACAGAACCTGGCCTGTATTGCAGCTCTGCCATCGGCCCTAGGAGGTCCTAGAGTGTCTCCTCCTACTGGAGATAACATGGCTGACCTACAGCAGAGTGGATGTTTCCTGTGACCTACAGGCAAACCTGGGCTGGGAAGTGTAGACTCTTATATAAGTGTAGGACTCAGTCCAGGATCTGGGATGACAGGGAAGACAGTATAAGAGGACCAGTCAAATAGCTGGGTCATAGGGGAGGCAGATGTTCCCCGAACATGCACGGAGCTAGGCAGGCTGCAGGACTGACTTGGAGTTCCCCTGCTTGTCACTGATAATTCCCTGTGCCTTTACATATTTTGGAAGCTTGTTTTCTTTCCCCATTACCAAGGCTGTGTGCGGGTAATTGTGTGTCTGTCTTGTTTCCAGGTCCACTGGAGGTGCTGGGCAATGAATCCAAGACTGCTGCCCAAAGTGCTCTAAAGCCATCTGGGGAAGCAGAGGGCATTCCAGGAAGATGGCCATGGCCCCAAACCCTTCCCTGGCTCAAGTATACCCCAGCCCTGTGGCAGTGGCTGTGTGGGAATGGCGGGATGGGCTGAACACCTGGCACCCCTACAGTGCAGCCGTCTGCAACTACATTGAGCAGCAGTTTGTCCAGCAGAAGGGTCAACGCTTTGGGCTGGGGAGCCTGGCCCACAGCATCCCCTTGGGCCAAGCCGACCCCTCACTGGCTCCCTATATCATCGATCTCCCCAGCTGGACCCAGTTCCGCCAGGACACTGGTATGTCCCTTCTGCCTCTCCTATAGAATCTGAGCACGTGCTTTGGACTAGATACCATGTCAGGTGTTGGAGTTACAGATGTGACTTACAGAGATTGTCCACACCCCTGAAATGAACATATCTGAGAGGTAGATCTATAGACCAGCTAGTACTCAGGTGAAGAGAATCTCATAGTAATAGAGGGTACTGTGGAGCACGTTGTGGAGGCCCTCCCCCTCATCTCCCAGACCCCAGTGCCTGCTTCCTTAGTTGGCTGGCCAGCATGGAAGCCTAGTATATCTTGATTCTACTAGGGAGAGGGCCTGTTGAAGCCGGACATGGGGCACAGGAGAGATGAAGCAGATGGGCTGGGAATGTGGTTTAGTGGCAGAATGCTTGCCTAGCATGCATGAAGCCTCAGGTTTGATTCCTTAGAACTACATGCACAGAAAAAGCCAGAAGTAGGGCTGGTAAGGTGGTTCAGTGGTAGAGTGCTTGCCTCCCATGCATGAGGCAAGCATGGGCAAACCTTGGGTTTGACTCCTCAGCGCCACATAAACAGAAAAAGCTGGAAGTGGCGCTGTGGCTCAAGTGGTAGAGCGCTTGCCTTGAGCTAAAGAGCTGAGGAACAGCACCCAGGCTCAGAGTTCAAGCCCCATGACTGACCAACAAATAATAAAGGAAAAGCCAGAAGTGATGCTGTGGCTCAAGGGGTAGAGTGTTAGACTTGAGCATAAAGAAGCTCAGGGACAGTGGCCCTGAGTTCAAGACTCAGGACTGGTTTAAAAAAAGAGAGAGATGAGGCAGAGGATGAAGAATATGAGGTCAGTCTGGTCTACATAGTCAGACCCTGTATCAAAAACAAAATAGACCAGCTAAAGAATATGGTTAGACTTGAAATTAAAGGGAGTGGTAAAGCCAGACGCTGGTGGCTGACTACCTGTAATCCTAGCTACTCAGGAGGCTGAAATCTGAAGATCAAGGTTCAAAGCCAGCCTGGACAGGAAAGTCCATGAGACTCTTATCTCTAATTAACCACCAGAAAACCAGAAGTGGTGCTGTGGCTCAAGTGGTAGAGTGCTAGTCTTGAGCTGAAGAGCTGAGGGACAGCGCCCAGGCTCAGAGTTCAAGCCCCCAACTGACAAAAAAAAAAAGATTAATCCATATTAGACAATCACATAGTAATTTAAAAATTTTTAGACAAGAAATGCCATGGTGTAATATGTGGAACTAGCAGGAATAGTTCAGTGTGGTTGTCTGTTACTTAAATACTCATTCTTTTTTTTTTTTTTTTTGGGTCTGGTCGTGGGGCCTGAACTCTGGGTCTGGGTGCTGTCCCTCAGCTCTTCAGCTCAAGGCTAGCACTCTACCACTTGAGTCACAGCGCCACTTCCGGCTTTTTTCTTTTTTGCTTATGTGGTGCTGAGGAATCAAACCCAGGGCCTCATGCATGCAAGGCAAGTGCTCTACCACTGAGCCACCTTCCCGGCTCAAATACTCATTCTTAAAAGGCTGGCTGAGAAAAAGTAAATTATGGTAATAGTTGTGTTTTTTTTCCTCTTTTTGTACTGGTACTGGGACTTAAACTCAGGGGCTCAGCTTTTTTGCTCACAGCTGACATTATATTAGGCTAGTCCCACTTTCAGTGTTTTTATTTTATTTGTTTATTTGATTTTTGTGACATTACTAGGGCTTGAACTCAGGGCCTGGGTTCTGTCCTTTAGCTTTTTCACTCAAGGCTGGCGCTTTACTACTTGAGCCACAGCTCATACTTTTAACCATTGGTAGTTAATCAGAGATGAGTCTAATTGCTTGGGCTGACTTTGAACCATGATCCTCAGATCTCAGGCTCCTGAGTAGCTAGGATTACAGGCCTAGGCCACTGGCACCTAGCTTTCAATGTTTTTTAAAGTGGAGATGTAGGCTGGGTGCCTGTCGTTCATGTGCTTAGGTCCTGCATTCAAACCCCAGTACTGGTGCACACAGACACACACACATACACAGACACAACAAATAGAGACATAGAAGTGTCATCTCTAGAATAATTTTTACTTTTTGGTGCTTGGGATTGAATCTTGGACTTTGTTAGTGCTAAGCAATCCTTGGAATTTTTTGTTTGTTTGTTTGGTTGTGGCACTTGAACTCAGGGCCTGGGCATTAAAGACTAGCATTCTACCACTTTGAGCCACAGCTCCACTTTTGATTTTTGAGTGGTTAATTGGAGATAAAAGTCTCGCAGGGACTTTACTGCATGGGCTGGCTTTGAACTGCTATCCTCAAGTCTCAGCCTCCTGAGTAGCCAGGATTTCAGATGTGAGCTACCAGCTCCTGGTGCTTGGAAATATTTTGAGGACTAGTTTTGCCTATTGCCTTTATTCTGTTCTCAGCACTGGAAGTGTCCCTGCACATCTCTGTACTCTACTTCTAGATCTGGAAGACTAGCCATCGCCAGCCCTCCAGTCATATGTTCTTTTTTTTTCCTGTTTGGTCAGTCTTGGGGCTTGAACTCTGGGCCTGGGTACTGTCCTTGAGCTTTTCAGCTCAAGGCAAATGCTCTACCACTTGAGCCACAGCATCACTTCCGGTTTTCTGGTGGTTAACTGGAGATAAGAGTCTCATGGCCTTTCCTGCCCAGGCTGGCTTTGAACTGTGTTCCTCAAATCTCAGCCTCCTGAGTAGGATTACAGGCGTGAGCCACCGGTGCCTGGCTCGTACCCCAGTCACATGTTCTTGCATGGCCTTATGTACACCAACAGGGATCATTTTGTTTTGTGAAAAAAAGAATTCTAGAACTAGGAATATAAGTTAGTGGCAAAGCATCTAGCATGGGTGCAGCCTTAGATTCTATGCCTAGCGCTATATATCTAACAGGAAAAGACTTGTCAAATTCCCTGTTTTGTTGTGTTTTCAAGGAGTGGCTAGCACATCCCTGATTATGTGCTCTGCTCTTTTGAACAGGAACCATGCGAGCTGTGCGCCGGCACCTATTTCCCCAGAATTCAGCACCGGGCCGAGGCATTGTCTGGGAGTGGCTGGGTGACGATGGCTCCTGGACGGCCTATGAAGCCAGCATCTGTGACTATCTGGAACAGCAGGTGGCCGGAGGCACCCAGCTTGTGGACCTGGCTCCCCTGGGGTACAACTACACCATCAACTATGCCACCCACACACAGACCAATAAGACTTCCAGCTTCTGCCGAAGTGTGCGGCGCCAAGTTGGGCTACCTTACCCAGTGACCACCGTCATCGCTCCACCAGGCCACACAGGAGTTGCCTGCTCTTGCCACCAGTGCCTCCATGGCAGTGGAACTGGCCCTGTGTCGGGCCGCTACCCGCCACTCCATGACCAACCTTCCTGCATATTCCACCCCTCAAGCCTCCCACAGGACTACCCTTGTCTTTGGGGCCCACCAAGCTTTTGCCCCATACAACAAGCCCTCACTCTCTGGGGCCAGATCCGCACCCAGGCTGAACACCACCAACCCCTGGGGTGGGGCAGTCACTGCCCTGGGGAACCAACCCTTCTTCCGCTCCAGCCTCTCCCACCTGGGACCACAGCTTCTGCCTCCAGCCTCATCCACTTCCAGTGGAGCCAGGTATCATGTCCCTCAGGTCATTGTCCTGGCCATGGATTGGCTTCGGCTTTTATGTACTGAGAGGAGCACCTGGGTCACTGCAGAGTGGCCCCTGCCCTTCTTGGTTGTCTCTGCTCCATTGTCTCATGCCACACAAATGCTGAGGTGCCATGGCCCTATGTAGCCTGGAGTGACCTGGCCTTCACTGGGTTAAAGTCATCCTTTCACTCCTTTGGGATTGTGTGGTGCCAGGTTATAGAGACCTGGCCTGTGCTCGTGTGCTACATGGCATGTGTTATACCTGAAGACATTCCAGTAGCTGTGCACTCACTGATTCCCCTCCTGGGCCAGACACTGCCAACCCCCAAATCCTCAGAAGAGGCCCCAGAAACCTAGAATGGGGAAAGCATGTGGTGCAGGGTGTGGAGCCCACAGGTGGCATGGGCATGGACCGTGTGTGACCCGGTATGGACCAAGTTTGTTGGCAGTTGTTGTTTTTAAGGCAGTCTTACTGTGTAGCCCAGGCTGGCCTTGAACTTACTATCTTCCTGCCCTTCAGCCTCTGAGTGTTGGGGCCAAGTGGCATTTTAAAATCTTGGCTAAGAGGAGTACACTTCAGCTGGCTGATAGGGGCTGCACTGTGCTTACTGCCCAGTGTTGAGTGTGGAGAACATAGATTTGAGAGGACAGCAGCATGGGACTGCCTTCTGAGGGAGAGAGACCTGGGTGGGAGGTAGCAGAGTCTGCAGCCTGTAGCTGTCCTGGTCCCCAGGGAGAACAGTGTCTTACTGATCTGGACTGCTGATCAGCCATCTTGTGAGGTGACAGACCTGGGCAGCTTATGTGCAGCTAGTATTTGTTCTTATGGGTTTCCCAGGACCTGACCAGCATTGTTAGGTACAGGTCAGGCTATGGGAGCAACTTCACTGGTCTGCATGATGTACTTAAGCTTTATAGGTAGGATCATCAACTTGAACTTCGGCCACACAGCCAGAGGTGGCAGAAGCAGAATTAAACCTGGCCTCAGGACATGTAGAGAGTCCTTGAAGCCCTGGGATGCAGTGTGAGGCAGGGTAGAAGCCACTGCAGTTGATGAGAACAGGTCTGGATAAGGAGGATGATTGGGATGGGGTCCGAGTTTTCCAGGCTGCTGCTTCTTCCAAAGTTGGGGCTATGGACCTGGCCTCTGGGAATGGCAAGTCCAGTGAGGTGTTACTGCTCACAAGTGTTCTCCCATTGCCCTCAGATGCAGGAGTCCCATTCAGGGACCAGGCCCTTCATTGCCGGTCCTGAACAGTGATCAGAGCTGCAGCTTTCCAACTCAGGGCCTGGGTGCTGTCCCTGAGCCTCTTTGTGCTCAAGGCTAGCACTCAACCACTTGAGCCACAGCCCCACTTCCAGTTTTTAAGTGGTTAATTGGGGATAAGAGTTTCAGGGGGACTTTTCTGCCCACCTAGCTTCAAATCATGATCCTCAGATCTCAGCCTCCTGAGTAGCTAGGATTATAGGCATGAGCCACTGGCACCTGGCTCCTGGGGCTTTTTAAACATTGTTTTGAGGCAAGTTGCTACACGCTAACTAGAGGTAGGATTCTAGGTTGAGTCAGGTGACTTAATGGGGCTCTTTTTTTTTTTGTTAGTCGTGGGACTAAAACTCTGGGCCTGGGCACTATCCCTGAGCTCTTCTGCTCAAGGCGAACGCTCTACCACTTGAGCCACAGTGCCACTTCTGATTTTCTGGTCATTAATTGGAGATAAGAATCTCTCGGACTTTTTTGCCTAGGCTGGCTTGAACCGCAATCCTCAGATCTTAAGTCTCCTGAGTAGCTAGGATTATAGGCGTGAGCCACCAGTGCCTGGCTTAATGGTGCTCTTAAATAGGGAGTTTCCATTGATCTTCCCCAAACCATCTTGTGTACTTGTCAGAGTCTCCCCCTCAGCTGCAGGCCCTGTGTGGAGGCTGGCAGATGACAGCAGGTCGTAGTGCCAGCAGTCCTCCTCTGGGTGCTGGCAGGCCATGCCTGTCACTGCTTGCCCTGGGCCCTGGGCTGGAGCTGGGAGGAACTGGGCCAGCTAGTGTGTTGGGTGCCACAGCCACAAAGTAGCCTGCGCCCTGGGATAGGTGTGCAGCCTTGTTCCCTTGAACTTTTTTGGAGCTAGGATGAGTGTAATTGCACCTGCACAGGCCTATCCAGGCCATGAGAAACAAGGCTTTTCCCATGTCTAATTTTGTAACGTGGCCTTCTTCACTTGCCCTCCCCGATGGATGAAAGAGCCTGTGGCCTGACCTTGGGATAACTGAAAACATCTGGTACCTTCTTCTCCTAGGGGCTCTGCAATGTTCTCAGAGCTAAGTGCACGTGTTAGATTGAGTGAAACTTGCCCTGCCCATAGAGGGGAACATGGCCATAGGCAGGCCGGGAGGAGTTACTGTTTGAGCAGGTGGCCCTCAGGCTCTGTGGAACCCATAGCCTTTGTTTTATTTTTGAAGTGCTCATGGTTTCCAGTCTACTTCTTGCTCAATCTGGATGAAACTGTCTGTGTGGTTTACTGGTGCCCCCTGGGAACATGGAGTAATCCTGGACACGCTGTGTCATTGGTAACTGATCTGCTAGGTGTAAATAAGTTTCCTGCAGCTGACAGTTATCGCTTTATGCATCAAAACACGTGTCCTAATGTGGTGGGTGGAGAACTTCCTGAATGAATGTGTCACGTGCACTGTAACAGAGGTAGGACCCCTTAGTTGGCATTTTTATGACTAAGTTGGCGTTTGAGACCAGTAACTAAAACTTAATCTGCAGGTATTTTTCTCCTCACTAAATGATCTTGTTAGGTGACTTTCCTCGTAGCTTATGTCTGCTGCCCTGCATGGATGCCCTTCCTTCAGCTGTGGGCCCAGGACTCTGGCTGTGGCTGCCTCTTGGCCTGTACACTTAGAATCCTGGGTTTAGGCTTAGGCAGGGCCTCACTTCCAGCCTGCTTTAGGCTGTTAGCTCATGATTCTTCTGTTCCCTCCTGAGACTATGCTGTTGAACTTGTGTGTTTCTGAAGTTTCCTTTTGCTCTAATACTACTGTGGTTTTCAATTCACGGATTGTTCAGAACCCCAAAGGCCTGCCTTTGTTTGCCTTCCTCTGCTCCTTAGAGACCTGGGAAGTTTGTATGGAGCCTTTCCACCTCCTGGAGCCTTCTGGATCTGTCCCTATTCTCTAAAGAAATTGAAGCTCAGGAAGAAGACTTGAGGTGCCCAGGGCACATAGCTCACGTGGGTGCTGGGAGCCGTTTCAGCATATCCAGGTTAGGTTTCCTTCCTCTCCATCCTCCTTGCTCGCTCCCGTGCCTGGGACTGTGAAATCATGTCTGCACCAACTATGTAGTCCTGTCCCACGTCCTCAGGCCCTTGTGGAGCTGTCCCAGGCTGGAAAGCCAGGTGGGCCTGGTAGGGAGCCCAGGAGTGGAGGTGAATGGCACCTAAACAATGGCTAGAACAGTTCTTGTGAAGGATGCTTAGTGGTTAAATGGTGCATACTTGAGCCTTTGAGGGTGAGTTTCTATCCCAAGAGTCCCCATCTTGGGAAATGTGAGGCCAGGTCCTTGTATTTCTTTCTTTTTTTTTTTTTTTTTGGGGTCCAGTCGTGGGGCCTGAACTCTGGGCCTGGGCGCTGTCCCTCAGCTCTTCAGCTCAAGGCTAGTGCTCTACCACTTGAGCCACAGCGCCACTTCCGGCTTTTTTCTTTTTGCTTATATGGTGCTGAGGAATCGAACCCAGGGCCTCATGCATGCAAGGCAAGCGCTCTACCACTGAGCCACCTTCCCAGCCCAGGTCCTTATATTTCTGTGTTACTCCTGAGACGAGAATGGGATGGAGTGTTCTGGAAGGATACATGTAGGGGTGACATGGGAAAATTTTATACTGAACTAGGTCAGCTTCTAGTTCTGTTCACTGGCATCCTCATTGCTAGTCCTGGGTGTGGGAACTCAGACTAGACCTTCCCCATTTGGGCCTCTCCTTGATGAGGGGGCTCCACTTCCTTGGTTCCTTTGTGAAGAGAAGCTGTCAGGAACCTCTGTGGACTGTGTAGGCTTCTTCCCCTAGCCCATTGAGTACTTGTTTTACAGAATTTGAGAGCCAAACTTTTTTTTTTTTTTAACTGGAATTCAAGACCTAGTGGTCTCACTAGGCTCTGAGCTTTTTGTGTTTATTTTAGTTTTTTAACCACAGCTAGCTTTCTGCTAGTTGAGTCATGCTTCTAGTTGTAGCTTTTTTTTTTTTTTTATCTGTTCTGGGGCTCGAACTCTGGGCCTGGGCTCTGTCCTTCAGCTCTTCATCTCAAGGCTAGCACTCTATCACCTGAGCCACAGCGCCACTTCCGATTTTTCTGGTGGTTAATTAGAGATAAGAGTCTCGGGGCTGGGAAGGTGGCTCAGTGGTAGAGCGCTTGCCTTGCATGCCAGAGGCCCTGGGTTCGATTCCTCAGCACCACATATGCAAAAAGAAAAAAGCCGGAAATGGCGCTGTGGCTCAAGTGGTAGAGCGCTAGCCTTGAGCTGAAGAGCTGAGGGACAGTGCCCAGGCCAGAGTTCAGGCCCCACGACCGGACCCAAAAAAAAAAAAAAAAAAAAAAAAGAGTCTCACAGACGTTCTTGCCTGGGCTGGCTTTAAACTGTGATCCTCAGATCTCAGCCTCCTGAGTAGCCTCTGGTGCCTGGCTAGTTGTAGCTTTTTGCTGATTATGTTTCAGATTTGCCCAGACTGGCTCCAAGTCTTGATTCTCAGATCTCAGTCTCCTGAGTAGCTGTGATAGGTGTGAGCTGCCAGTACCTAGCTAAGCTTTGATTTTTGGAGCTCAAGGCTCAAGCTCAGTGTTACCCTGGGAAGTTGATCTGGGAACCTGTGCTGGAATCTCACATCATTCACAAACACTTTCAGGGACAATCCCTTTTCCTCCCAGTCAGAAAAAAGGGAAATAGGCTCATAGGGACATACTTGCTTCTCATGGACACCTCTGGTATTCAGTCCCAGACCTTCTCTGCATTATCAGGGCCTCCTAGGTCTCCCTCACCCTTTTCTTCATGCTGAGAGTAGCTAAAGAGGGTAGGAGCTACTGCTTTTCTTTTGGTGGTTAACTGTGATTTGAGTCAAGGGCCCTTGGTAGGCAGGTGCTTTACTGCTGAGCCATACATACCTCAGATCTAAGCTGTTCTTTTTGTTGTCAAGCCAAGCAGGCTGTTTTGTTTTGTTTTGTTTTTTTTTGGGTCTGGTCGTGGGGCCTGAACTCTGGGCCTGGGCGCTGTCCCTCAGCTCTTCAGCTCAAAGCTAGTGTTCTACCACTTGAGCCACAGCGCCACTTCCGGCTTTTTTCTTTTTTTTTTTTTTTTTTTTTGCTTATGTGGTGCTGAGGAATCGAACCCAGGGCCTCAGGCATGCAAGGTAAGTGCTCTACCACTGAGCCACCTTCCCAGCCCCCAAAAGCAGGCTGTTTTAATTAAAAGAACATTCAAGATATTCAAACAAAATCTCTTTCTGAACTTAGGATAATACTAGAGTACCTGCTCTAAAAGTCTGCTCCAGACTACTCCATACATCAGCTCCAGCTGGGTATGAGGTTTCCTGTCTGTGACATGTGACTGGGGTAGTGTAGAGCTTGTGGCAGCCCCTGGAGCAGTGGTGGTTTGGGGACAGCAAGTGGAACAGAAAGGAGCTGGCCCTCCCCTGATCTGGGTTGGGCCCATCCCTGTGGAACAAAGGCCCTGGGAACTCCAATGTGGGACTATGTGGGAGGGTTTTGTAATCTTAATATTTCATCATCTGTTCTGGATTGGGATAGATGGGAGGACCTAGGAGTCAGAGGGAGGTGGAGCAGGCAGGAACTTGACCTTCTCTTCCCAAACCAAAATGGCCTGCATTTGTTACCATTTGAAACATTTAAACATGAGTATTTTTTTTTTGTCGGTCGTGGGGCTTGAACTCTGGGCCTGGGCACTGTCCCTCAGCTCTTCAGCTCAAGGCGAGTGCTCTACCACTTGAGCTACAGCGCCACTTCCGGTTTTCTGGTGGTTTATTGGAGATAGGAGTCTCACGGTCTCTCCTGCCCGGGCTGGCTTTGAACCACGATCTTCAGATCTCAGCCTCCTGAGTAGCTAGGATTACAGGCGTGAGCCACCAGCACCCGGCCTAAACATGAGTATTTATAACCAAGTGAATGGCATTGAACATAGTCACCATGGCAAGCTAGACCCTCGTTACTATAGGTTTTGGGTTTTTTTTGTTGTTGTTGTTGCTGTTTTTGTGGTTTTTTGGTGCTGGGGATGGAACCCAGGGCCTTGGACATGCTCAGCAAGTGCTCCACTCCTGAGTTATACCTCTAGTACCCATACTGTTATTAAGAAAACATCCCCAAAGCTTTATTCTGTACTGATTTTAGATTGACAGAAAGGTTACATAGTATAGAGTTCCCATACCTCCTGTACTTTACATTTCACTGTAAACATCTTCCTGACCACATTGTGGTGAGGACCAGAAAACTGCCTGTGTACAACACTTGTAGCTAAATGGTTTCACAGGATCCTGTGTGGGGTCCTGCTTTGCAGGTGGGTGTCTGTCATTCCTCCTGTTCTCTAGCTAGTCCTGATGCTCTTCAGTCCCTTATCTTATAGCTTCTGGTTCCACAGAGGTACTTAGTTCAATATCCCTTGACTTGGGTTTAGTTGTTTCTTGAGCGTGGACCAGGTGATGTGTTTCTGGCAGGAATCATGTATAGAGAAGGTCAGCAGATCACTGGCTGTGTTGGTCTCAATGGCTGATGGTTCACAGGAACCCCGACCTCACTCTAATGAAACTAAGTGAGCTTTGAACTGTGTGAGCTCCAGGATTGTGTTCTGGTCTACGAGCTGCCCAAGCAATCAGAAAAAGTAGAGGTGGGAAGGGGGCCTCGGCAGGGGGTTCAGCTCAGCTCCACTCAGCTTTCTCTCTTTCTTCCCAAGTGCCTCCCTCCCCAGTGGTGCATCCAGCAGCTCCGGGAACACCCCTGCCACGGTGCCTGTGCAGATGCCGAAGCCCAGCAGGGTCCAGCAAGCTCTCGCCGGTAGGTGCCTGGACTGGAGGAGGCAGCGGGCTGGGGGCCTCATCACCCTCCAGGAAACCTGAAGGTATCGCTTCGGGAAGCAGTGCCTGTTCCTATGATGGTGTGCCCTGAGGGAGTGAGCCTGGTGCCCCCTGCTCAAGCCCTCTGGCAGAGTCAGGCCTGATGATGGTGCTCTCAAGTGGACTTCCTACATCTGTCTCTGTGTGTGTGTGTGTGTGTGTGTGTGTGTGTGTGTGTGTGTGTGTGTGTGTGTGTGTGTGTGTGTGTGTGTGTGTGTGTGTGTGTGTGTGTGTGTGTGTGTGCTGGTCATGAGGCTTGAACTTGGGCTGGGTGCTGCTGAAGCCTAGTGCTCTACTACTTGAGCCACAATTTCACTTCCAGTGCTTTTTGATGCTTATTTGGAGATGAGTCTTATGAAATTCCCTGCCCAGGCTGGCTGCAAACCCCTATCCTCAGATTTCATCCTCCTGAGTAGTTAGGATTGTAGACGTGAGCCACCTGCATCTGGCTGCACATCCTTTTTAAGTTTTGTATGGAATTATAGATAGAGCCACTTTACTGGCCTGCAGGAGCCTCTGGGGGTTCTCAGAACGGGTTGGCTGTAGTTAGACCCTGATTGTTTTCTTGTGCTGGGGATGGAACCCAAGGCTTCCCTCTTGCTTGGCAAGTTGCTCTTGCTGCTGCTAACTTGCATGCCAGCCACTCTTGTCATCAACACGTGCCATTGGGTCCATCACGGTGTCTCTTACCCATGTTCTATGGGGCTTATAGGGGTGGAGCAGCTAGAAGCAGATTTGACCTTGTGGGAAACCCAAAGTGGGTACCAGAGAAGACAGGAAAGGGCAGCAGACTCCTGCCACTTGCAGCTGACACAAGGAAGCAAGTGATAGAGTTTGAGGTGGTCAGACAGGGCAGGCCTGTGAAGTGCAGTGAAGTGCAGGGGGAGGGCCAGCCTCAGACGTGGAGAAGGGAGCCTTCTGTCTAGATGGCTGGCAACACAGCGAGGAAACAGGGTGGCCTGTGGAGTCCAGCTGTCACCATAGTCTGTCGTCACAACAGCGACTCAGAGGAGGGCTGGCCCTGCATGTGTATTCACATTGAATCCCTAAACAACTCTGAGGTATGGATTTAGTCCCACTTTATGTTTGAGGAAACTGAGGCTCAGAGAACTTCAAAATCCTTCAGAGTCCTTCTGTCCTAGGATTTGGCTTCTTGTGTGCGATACTTTGGCACTCCTGAGTCTGGAGGGAGACTTGCTCAGATGTGGCTGTGGTATAGACAGTGGCCTGTCCCAGAGGCAGCAGCAGTGTGGAGTGCAGCCCAGGAAGGGCCTAGTCTCTCCCAAGAGAGCCTCAGAGGACCCTGGGAGAGCCCCTGGGCAGGTGGTAGAGGTAGGAGTGAGGAGGGCAAGGAACTGGGGAAAGCCAGGTGGGAGACAGTCTAGGGTCCTCTCTGCCCATTTCAGCTGTCAGCTCTGCTGGAGCCAGGAAGAAAGAGAGCAGAGTGCTGGAGGTGGGGCCCAAGTGGTAGAGGTCCTGAAACCCCAGTGCTGCCCCAAAAAGAACAGAACAACAACAACAAAAAACAACAAAGAACAAGCTGTGTTGCAGCATGGGAAGGGCCCTCAGACTGAAGAGCAGAGGACAGGGGCAGAGGACTACTACTGTGCAATTCTCCTACTCCTGGGAGCCACTGAGAGAGGTAGCTTAGCAATTGTGTCACAGTTATTTGCACTTGGGAAGCACATGCTCTGCCACTTGAGTCATGCCCCCAGCCCACCCTTTTTGCTTTTAGGATTTTTTGTGTTCGTGACTGGTTTTGTGGCAGTTCTAGGGTTTGAATTTAATTCCTCATGCTCTTGCTTGGCTTTTTTGGTCAAGGCTGTTCCTCTATCACTTAAGCCACAGTTCCACTTCTGGCTTTCTGCTGGTTAATTGGAGATAAGTCTTTTGGATTTGTCTGCCGTAGCTGGCTTCGTACACCAACCAGCAAGAGGTGACACTGGGTGTGAAACTAGGCAGGGAGGCCAGAGCAGGATAGACTTGAGTGCTGACCCTTTTCTCCAGATGAGGGGCCAGCCCTGGGTCAGATAGGGTTTTTATGATTGAGAGTGAGTCTGCAGATGGGGACTTCACATTCAGAGGCTTGGAGTGGGAGTTCTCTGGAGTGGATAGAAAGCCATGGTTGTTCAGTGGTTAGGTGATGTGTGAGGTTGTCCTTCACCCTTTGCTGCTGAGGAAGATGTGATGGCTTATTCTTCTTTTGTTGTTGTTGTTGGTCATGGGGTTTGAACTCTGGGCTTAGGCACTGTCCCTGCACTCTTCAGCTCAAGGCTATTGCTCTACCACATGAGCCACAGTGCCACTTCTGGTTTTCTGAGTGGTTTATTGGAGATAAGAGTCTCACAGATGTTCCGCGTGGCTGGCTTTGAACTGCGATCCTCAGATCTCAGCCTCTTGAATAGCTAGGATTACAGGTATGAGCCACCAGCGCCTGGCATGATGGTTTATTCTTGATACCCCATGTCAGATCCATCTCTTCTCCTGTCCATCATGCCTCTTACTTGCTACTTTCAAACTGAGCACTAGGAATCAGGTTCTGCTGGTCTGGATGGAGAGTGCTGTGGCTCCGGCCTTCTGGAGGCTGATGAAGGTGGCCCTGAGGATGTCTTCCTCTCTCTGGACAGGGTGCCCTGCGTGCTGGGTTGGTGGCAGTGGTGGGTGAAGGGAAGAAGACCCCTGAAACAGGTGTCTGAGTTGTTGACGTCAGAGGACTAGGAAGAACCACTCATTGGGAAAGAGGCTGAGTTGGCAGGGTGTAGCCCCTTTCCCCAGGTGACCAGTGACGTCCTGCCTGCAGGATGGGCTGGTACCTCTGCTGGCTGAGGGCAGATCTGAGCACAGTGGGCCCCGGGCAGGGGCTGGGTTCCAGTCAGGAGGCATGGTCAGCACTAAGGCTGTGGGCTCTGAAGGAAAGCTGCATCTACTCCAAATCCTTCCCACCTTTCTGCCACCTGCAATTGCTTGTCATCCTGCTCCTTTAGTTCTCAAGGGAACTGCACTTGAGCCCAGTAACAAGCTGGGGGTATGGGTGGCATTGTAGTGACTCTGGGTCTCCTGGAGTGTACTTTGGTGCCTCCTTCAGAGTGGCAGCACACCACCCCTGGCCTGATTCTGCCCAGTTAGGGGTTGACCTCAGCTTCTATCCCAAGCTGGGTTCCTTTGCCAGGTGAGACCTTCAGCAGCTGGTCTATCAGCCCCTACCCCCTGAGTTTTGTCTGGTGGGGCAGCGCTATCTGGCTCAACATATTGTAGGGGCCTTGGGCTTTGACCCTGAGTAAACCTGAGCCTGGCTCTAAGGCCTAGGAAAGCTATTCTCACTCTGCTGGCTGAGAAGCCAGAATGCCCTCCCTTGAGGGAGCGCTCTGGTCAAGGAGGAGGCCAGCTGTGCCAGGGACTCCACTGTGAGGTACTAGGTTATGGGGGAGTAGGAAGGAGTGCAGCTAGCCAGGACAAGAGAGGCCCCAGGAGGAGGGCAGCAGGGAGCTCTTGGCCTTGTTCTGCCACAGTTCCTTCCCTCGTGGACAGCAGCAGAGGAAGCTGGGCCTGGGTCACCTCAAGCCCCAAGCAGCCATGTCACCAAAGTAGCCACATGGGTGGTAGAAAGCAGGGTATGGTAAGCTGGGAGGGCACAGCCAGGCCTGTAGGCTCAAAGGGGTGGAGGGGGCGACTGAACCCTCAGAATCAAGAGGCTGGCCCTGTTGATCCAGCTTGGCAGAGCCCTGCCACTGCACTTCATGTGCTCCCCCCTGCATGGGTGCAGGGAGATGTCATCCAGGACTGCTTGGGACACCCTGGGATATACTCTATACACTTTCCTGAAGCGAATGACCGCACATTGCATGCTCTGGAAATCTAGAATCTGGCAACCTCCAGGTTCCCTAGGGCAATTCTCAGGTCCTCCTGGCTGTTCATGTGCCACCAGCTTGGACACCAAAGGATTGCGGGCATCGTATGCGAACTCCTCCCTCTAACGTTTCTCCCTCTGCATGTCTGATCTCGCACCCGTGCAGGCATGACAAGTGTGCTGATGTCAGCCATTGGACTCCCTGTGTGTCTTAGCCGCGCACCCCAGCCCGCCAGCCCTCCCGCCTCCTGTCTGGCCTCTAAAAGTCACAGCTCAGTTAAGAGACTGAGGAAAATGTCCGTGAAAGGTAGTTGCTATTCACAAATGCTCTCTGGCCTCTGTTAAGCCTCTTCCACATCTTGCTGCCTCTGACTCTCCTGCGCTCGTCGCTCTTGCCCTCGTGGCCCTCCACTTCCTCTGCCCTCTCTCCCTGCCCTCCAGCAGGCAGTGTGTGTAGGTGTGACTCCTGAGACTTACTTCCCTGGTGGAAGCTGGACAAAGTGGCCTTGTTCCTAGGGACACTGTGACTTTGTAGTCATGAAGGTGTAGATGACAGCTGGCTAAGGATTATGGGATGCCTTCCTTTTCAAGGGGCTGGTTTGTTTCAGGAAAGGTCCCCAGAGAGCAGCCCAGTGTGTGTGGCCAGGTAGCATGGCGTCCCGTTCCATCCAGTAGTCAAGAGATGGCCTGCCTGCAGAAGTGTTGCTTGAGAGGTCTGTGTTTAGTGGGGTGCGGGGCTCCAGGAAGAGGATGTGGTCAGCACAGAGCCTCAGAAGTCTAGAGGGCAGGTTGGGGGGGGGGGGTTGCAGGACTTAGGGAAGCTAAGCTGTGGACTAATGGCTCTGCTGGCCTGGGCCACCCCCACTCCTGCCCTCCCTAGCCGTGGCTCTGCTGGCCTGGGGCACCCCCTGCTCCTGCCCTCACTGGCCATGGCTCCCACACATTTCCCCATCATTGTCTGTGGCTCCTGTTCAGGTGAACAGGTGGCTTAGGAGCAGGAGGGATGTGCAGGTCAGCATGGCAATGGTGGCTGCTTTTTTCTGCCCTGATGGAGGCAGGCAGAAGTGTGGGGCTGCCTGGCAGCCCCCGGGCACCTGGGTTGTCTGGAAAGGACAGCCCTGCCTTTCTGAATTCAGATATGTGTCATGAGCGTGGCGGTCACCTGATGACTCACAGAAGCAAGTCTACCTGGGCCAGGGTACTCAGTTACAAAAGGGAGCTCATGCTTATGGCAAACAAGCTAAGAAGCTGATGGACTGCAAATAGATAAAGTGTAAACTTTGTCCCATTCTGCTATTCATAACAATCTTTCAAGACATTCAGGATTTGGAACTAAAACTGAAAACATTGGTATTGATAGCTAGTTTATATTGGCCAAAAACGTGTCCTGTGCTATTCATATGTCATGTATTTTCAGTATTGTACATCATTTGGAAAGGGCTATAATCTGAATTTCTAGGACTCATGGGTTCTTTGCTGAGTGGGGTCTTGGCAGAAAAGGGCCAGGAGGCAGTCTTGGCAGAGGGGCCTGGCACTCCTGTCAGGCTTGTGGTTCTGTGTCGGTGGGCGTTGTTTTCTTTGTTACCACAGCAGCAGAGTGTGGGTTCTAGGGGTCCAGATGGACAGGCAGAGGGGTGGGGTATTGTGTGTACATGCGGGATATGTCTGGGTTCTAGGGTGAGTGCAGGGTACACCAGCGTGGAGTAGGGGGTATGGAGTGTGGGAGTATGGAGTGTGCATCTGGAAGGCCAGAGGCATGCATGCATGGTGTCTCTCCGCTGGCCCCTGCCGCCCCCAGCTCTAGCTTCTACTTTGTGTCATTGAGGGAACTGAGACTCAAGTGGCAGGATTTGGAGTCAAACCCAGTGTCCCCTGACCCCCTCTGCTCCACCACACCGCCTGCCACCCCCATCTGGCTCCCTGTTCTGTTACTGCCTTCTCTGGTCTGAGAGTTAGACGCTGAGCCTGTTGACAATAAGACCTTGTGGCCTCTGGTCAGGGTTTGAGCTCAGGTTTAAAACAGGAGCCTCACAGTGACCCCTGAGGTGGGTGTTGGCTCCCTGCCAGCGCAGCTGCTTCAGGGGCCCTGCTGTCTCTGCAGCCTCCCCTGAGCCTGCAGGGGCTCAGCTGAAACCTTCTGATTAGCCAGCTGGGTTCTTGACCTTGGCCCAGGGTTGGTGTCCGGAGGTACAGGCCTCCTCCGCATCACGAGTAGGCGGTGAAGCGGGGGCCAGCGGCCTGCACTTCTGCTGTGAACTGAGTGGGCATGAGACAACCTCTCTTCCAGCACTGAAATGTACAGCGCTTTATGACAGCGTCATAAGCAGATGTGTAGGCAGATGCCCTGTGGGACAGGCTTCCAGACCCCATACACCCAAAACTTCCTTACACTGAGATGAAGTTGAAACAGCACCGCTAGAATGTACTCGGTCATCCTCTGTGGGAACCTGTTGTCACAGCTGCTCTTTGACATTTGCGGGTGTCTTGAGAAGGGCCTAGGTTTGCTTTCCTGGGGCACACTCTGGGAGGGGCATGACAGGCTGCTCTGTTTCTTTGTTTCTGCCTCCTCCAGGGCCTCCCAGGCTGGACCAGGCACCAAGCTCGTGGCCTGGGCGGGGCTGCCAGTATCCTGCGTGTGCTCCAAGGCTGTCCTGTCTTACGCGCTAACCTTCCCTCCTTGCCCTGCTAACATTTCCTCCTGGCAGCTTGGACTTCTGCCCGTCTGCTCTCCCTGGCACCACGCTGCCCGGCTCGCACACCCAGGACTGCTTATGTTCTCGTCTCTTGCAGGAGGGGCTCCAAGGCCTGAGCCAGAGCAAGTGATCAAAAGCTACACTGAGGAGTTGAAAACACCCCCTGATGAGGTATGTGTCCTGTGAGAGGCCAGGGCAAACTCCAGGGAAGGGGACCCCAGCCCACACTCGGCCTGCCAATTGCTTCCTAGGTATGCAGGGCTCCTGTGGGAGGCATTATCAGGATGAGGTGCCCTGGCTTCCCAAGACCTGCCATCACTGCCATCAGAGTTGAGCTGTGGTCCTGAGCAAAGTGCTTTCTCTCAGGCAAGAGGATTGGGCCTATCTCCCCAGCTCCTGGTCCCTCAGACAACCCTTGAAAGTTGTTCTGCATCTCCTGCCCTTCCTCAGCCCTGTTCCATTTTGTGGAGGCATTCAGCAGGGGGAGAGGCGCAGAGAAAATGAACTCACAGGACAGCCCGTAAGACCCAGTTGGCACCCAGTGTGCCGGCACGTAACCTGGGACCTTCCATGCCACATTCTGAGTTGGGCGTGTGAGAAATCCAGATGGACAGAAGCCTGGGATTTGTCCTGGACTCCCGCCCTTCTTCGGCCTTCTCCAAACTCAGCTCCGGCTTTCTCTTTTTCCTCTTCTTCCTTTCCAAGCTGCTAACCATGCAGCCAAACATGGCCAGCTGCTTATTTTCTTTTTTGGAGGCAGCTCTGTGTATCCCAGTGTGGCCTTAAACTCATGATCATCCTGCCTCAGCCTCCTGAGTGCTAGGATTATTGGTGTGCGCCATCATACCTGGCTCATCTGGCTGCTAAAATGCCTCAGCTGGGTCCTGACACAAGACTGCTCCAGCTCCTGAGTGCAGTACTCAAGACATAGCCCTGTCCAAGCTCTAGGTTCATTGTTGACCTGTACATACCCCCTTCTGGTTCAGGCCTCAGGTGGTCCCTTCCTCTGTCCTGCTGTCCATCTGACAATTTCTGTGTCTCTTGTAAAAGCCAGCCCCAGAGGCTTCTCCCTCTGTCCTTATTTGCGTGGTCCCTCTGTCCCACACCTGTGGTTTTGCTCTTCGTTGGCACAGATCACAGACTACTTGGGTCCCCGTGTGGGAGCACAGCCGCTGGGCTGGTGTGTATCCTCTTCCTGCATCTCAGCCAAGGAAGGCCTTTTCCCACAGACTGGCCTGCTGAGGGCCAGTGGCTGGTCAGTGAGCCCTGTGTTTGGTCTCTCTTCTAGGACTGCATCATCTGCATGGAGAAACTGTCCACAGTGTCCGGCTATAGTGATACAACCGACAACAAGACCCTGGGACCCGTGGCTGTGGGCCGCCTCACCAAGTGCAGCCATGCCTTCCACCTGCTGTGCCTGCTGGCCATGTACTGCAACGGAAACAAGGTGCCCATGTGGATCTGGGTGGGAGCCAGTGACCTGCCCTGCCTCAGGCCCAGCAAGCAGCCTGCAGCAGGCTGAGGGTCAGTGCTAGGCCTCTGGGGTGGCAGGGGTGGCATCGCTCCTGACAGGACTGAGAAGCCCTGTGTCTTGCTTGAAGAACTTTCTTTTTTTGTTGTTGTTGTTGATCTTGGGGCTTGAGCTCTGGGCATGGGTGCTGCCCCTGAGCTCTTCAGCTCAAGGCAAGTGCTCCACCACTTTGAGCTACAGCGCCACTTCCAGTTTTCTGGTAGTTACTTGGAGTTAATTGGAGAAAACAATCTCACAGCCATTCCTGCCTGGGCTGGCTTTGAACCTCAATTCTCAGATCTCAGTCTCCTGAATAGCTGGGATTACAGGCGTGAGCTACCAGTGCCCGGCTTGGAGAACTTTCTGAAGGCTCAGCTCCCTCCTGTTGGCCTGTCTGTGTTTTAGGAAGGGGACCAATGGAGCTGATACCCCCACTCCTCCAACCAGCTCAGGGGGAGGTTCCGGGCTCCTCTGAGCAGCAGGCCTGCCTCTCCTTACCATGCACAAGTACTCCAGCTTTTCTTGTGACACCCTGCACTGATGCAAGGCACCAAGAGGGGACCATGCTCAGGGTTCCCTGCTAGGCAGAGCAGGCTTACTCAGGCCCTCGGTGTTGACCCTTGTCCTGTGTCCCCCACCCTTCAGACCTCAGGGGCACTCAGCCAGGGTGGATATAGATGGGAGGGCGGAGACAACCAAGTTACAGGCCAGCCTGCAAGGCCCAGTTGGGCCCCTTGTCTGTTTCTCTGCCACCCAGTGGCAGTGGTGTGGGTGGCAGGTTTCCAGGGGGACTGGGGAGGACTTGCCTGTGGAGCCAGGTGTCCTGCCAGCTGCGGTCTCCAGGTGCCTCACCCCATCCACACAGTGACTCGATGAGCCTGTGGTGCGCAGCTTTTTACTTTGGCCAGAAGACCACAGCAGTCCAGGCTCTGTAAGGGCCATCTGCGTGCTGGGCACTGTGCCTGCCCTTATCTGGTGGCCTCTTGTCCCCACTCCCTGGTCCATGTGCTAATGGGCTGCCAGCTCAGTTGCATCTGCCTTGTCTCAGGACGGGAGTTTGCAATGTCCATCCTGCAAGACCATCTATGGGGAGAAAACCGGGACGCAGCCCCGGGGCAAGATGGAGGTACACAGGTACCAGATGTCCCTCCCGGGCCACGAGGACTGCGGGACGATCCTCATCATTTACACCATCCCTCATGGCATCCAGGTGAGGGGCCTGCCCCACAGAGCCTCGGCCACCCTCCTCTGCCTGCCCTGCCCCCTCCCAGCAGCCTGCTCTATCACACTTCCACGCCCCACTCCCCAGGAAGCCAGGCCAGGGAGCAGGAACTGGGTGTGGCAGTGCTGAGGTTGGGGTGAGGGGAGATCGAGGCAGCCCTCAACCCTTTCCTGAGGGAGGAGAGACTTTCTGGAAAAAGAAGCAGCTTAATGGGGCTTGTGCTGGGCCAGAGACTAGCAGAAAAGCAGAAGGACACTGCCCAGGGGCTGAGCAGGTTGTGTATGGAGAAGAGGGGGTGGGGACAGGAGCCTTGACCCTAAGGTACCAGCTGAGCTGGAAGTAGTCAGATGGAGCTGGATATGGCTGAATGTGGGGAGCCCTGGCCCTTGGGGTCTTGCTCTGCCCATGCTGACACAGGTGGGGATGATGGGAGCAGCATTCTTTGTTGGGTCATGTGCTTTCTTTTTGATCTCCTCCCACTTGGAGGCTCAGGTTGACAACACCCCAGAGAAGATTCACATTTCCAGTGACTGTACTCACACCTGGCTGTGTAGCCAGGCCCAGCACTGTGTGTGCACCACCCCACCTCAGTTTGCTGCCTGGTAGCTCAGGGCCTGGTTCCTAAAGTGGATCCAGAGTGGCCCTCAAAGCAGGGTCCATCCTGGCACTGGCAGGGTTGCCAGTGGCACTGGGGAAAGAGTTGGCAAGCAGTGTCTCAGACTGGCAAGTATTCCTGGGGTAAGGCTGGACTTCCTTAATGAGTCCTCATGCCCAGGATTGGACCCTTCCAGAACCACCAGGGGCAGGCTAGGATTCGGAGTCCTGTGAGTGGCAGCTGGCTCGAGGCTTCCTGCTGTTTTTCCATCCAGCCTGGCATTTGCTTTCTCTGCAGGGCCCCGAGCACCCCAACCCTGGGAAACCGTTCACTGCCAGAGGCTTTCCCCGCCAATGCTACCTGCCTGACAACACCCAGGGCCGCAAGGTAAAGCCCCTGCCCCCCTGGGACCCTGCTGTCTCCCCTCCCCCCCGCAGCCCCTGCCTCATTCCCTTCACCAGCCCCACAGGCAGCTCAGGGAGAGAAGCTGGCCCAGGGTGCTGGGGTGCCCGCCGGGTTCAGACCTGCACAGGAATTACAGCTACCAGGGGCCGGGCCAGCAGGACAGCTGCTGGGGTTTAGGCTGAGCCTGGAAAGGGAGGGCTGAGGGAGGCTGGGCCCACCTGCTCTGTCCTGAAGCTGCTGGTGGCCCTTCAAGAAGGGCTGGGAGAGAAGCCAGCGTCTCACGTGCACATTGGGCAGGCGTGCTGCCACTGAGCTGCACCCCTAGCCTAAGCCCAGACTGGAGTGGCCAAGGGTGGCCGGCAGCAGGGGGTGTGTGGGACAGGAATCCTGGGTTCTGGCCTCTGAGATCTCTAGAGTTTGTGGGACCCCTTGGGCGGGGTTTAGTGCTGAGACAGTGGAGCCTGCTGGCACTGCTCACTTCCTCCCCCCGCCCCACCTTGCCACACAGGTCCTGGAGCTCCTGAAGGTAGCCTGGAAGAGGCGGCTAATCTTCACAGTGGGGACCTCCAGTACCACGGGGGAGACTGACACAGTCGTGTGGAATGAGATCCACCACAAGACGGAGATGGACCGCAACGTGACTGGCCATGGCTACCCCGACCCCAACTATCTGCAGAACGTGCTGGCCGAGCTGGCTGCGCAGGGCGTGACTGAGGACTGCCTGCAGTCTCAGTGAGCGACCCAGTGCCCCTGGCACAGCCTCCCCGGGGTGCAGGGTGGGAAGGTGCCTTCCTGAGAGTCTAGGATGCCAGGGAGGGGAGGGCTGTGCCCCTCTGGAGCCAGGCTTGTGCCTGCGTGGTCCTTTTCTCCCAGGGTGGGGAGGATCTGGGCACTTGTGCTGTGGGGCTGAGATGCAGCTACCTCAGGGCACAGATGGGCCTCTGTCCAGAGGGCGGCCTGGGCAGCGCCCCGGCCTGGCATGGCTGTGTGGGGATCGCCCCTCACCCAGTTTCTCATACCTCAGATTTTGTTTGCAATAAAGACCCTAAGCCACTGCAGGCCCTGGTGTTTGTGCCTGGAGGGTGGGTGTGTACCAGAGCTGAACATGTGGGCAGCTGCCCACTGCCCATCCAGCCCTGTGGTTGTAAACAAGCAGGCTACTGTGAGGCCGGACAGCTAGTGGAGAACAGCAGTGCAGCTGCCCTCCCCTCACAGGGCCAGCCTTGCTGCCCAGGGCTGCTCACACAGGGCAAGTGAGGACACGGGGTCACAGAGCTAGGCTCAGAGCAGTGACCAGCCTGGGGCCTTGAAACCTGACTCTTGACCCTCCGAGGAGGCGTTGGCAACACAAGCCCAGCCTGCTGCCCTCCCAGGGGGAGGAATACCCGTCTGGGGTCACAGGGACCAGCAGGTCCACAGGGCTACATTTTAACTGCTGGGGCTGGAAGCATTTTTAAAAAAGTCCTGCTTAGCTGGGTGCCAGTGGCTCATGCCTGTAATCCTAGCTACTCTGGAGGCTGAGATCTGAGGATCATGGTTCAAAGCCAGCCCAGGCAGTAAAGTATGTGAGACTCTTATCTCCAATAAACCACCAGAAAATGAAGTGGCACTGTGCCTCAAGTGGTAGAGTTCTAGCCTTGAGCTGAAGAGCAGGGACAGTGCCCAGGCCCAGAGTTCAAGCCCCACAACTGACCCCCCTTCCTCCCCCCCAAAAAAAAGAACATAAAAAAACTTAACAAATGACAACAAGTACATGAAGCCACTCAGTGCAAATAAAAGCCAGGAGCTACATCAAAGTATCTGGAAGAGGATATGAGAAGTTGGAGTCTTCCCCAAATGCTGAGGGAATGTACAGTGCAGCTCCTTTGGGGAATAGGCGGGTCTTCAAACGGGGTTACCCGATGACTGGGCTGCTCTCAAGGGTGACTTTACAAGAACATGTCCATGCAAAAACATATATGCAAATGTGGATTAGTCATTACGAGAAAGTGAAAACACCCAGACACCCAATAGCTGGTGAAATGAATGAAATATGCTATTTGTTTGCATGTGATGGTCTTAGCTCTGAAAGCAGAGAGGCATGGTCCCTGCTGTGCCAGGAATAGACCCTTGCAAACAACCTGAAAGAAGCTGGACAGCCAGGCATGATGGCTACTTGGGAGACCTTTAAGGCAGGAGGAGCCAGCCAGGACAACATAGTGAGACTGTTCAAAAAATAAAGAGGTACAGGAAAACAGCCTTCTGTGTGGTTTCATTCCTGTGAAATGTCCATCCTGGGCAAATCCCTAGAGACAGGAAAGCTCTCCCTCCTGGCAGGAGGAGAGAGGGAAGAGTAACTCATGGACTGTTTCGTCTTGGAGTGATGAGAAGGTTCTGGAATTAGCAATGATGGTTGCACAGCTTTCTGAGTAGAAACAATTGAGCTGGGGCTGAAGGTTAAAGCCCATGGTAGAGCTCTTGCTTAGCATACTGACACCCTGGCTTGATCCTTAGCACTACAAAAACAGCAAGAACCACTGACCTATGGGTCTGGCACAGTGGAGCATGCTGAGAGTCACAGCTAATTGGGAGATAGAGACAGGAAGATTGTGGCTAAGACTAGCCTAGGGGAAAAAAAAAAAAAACTGACTAAACATATCACTAAAGCCAAAAGAGCTGATGGAGTGGCCTCAGTGTGAGGCTCTGAGTTCAAACCCCAGAACCATAAAACCCACTGAACTGTTAAGCTTATATGAATTGTATCTAAAAAACAGAGGGGGCTGGGAATGTGGCTTAATGCATGCAGCCCTAAATTTGATTCCTCAGCACCACATAAACAGAAAAAGTCAGAAGTGGTGCTGTGGCTCAAGTGGTAGAGTGCTAGCCTTGAGCAAAAGAAACTCAGGGACAGTGCCCAGGCCCTGTGTTCAAGCCCCAGGACTGGCAGTGAACAACAAAAAAACCCACAAAGTGACAGCCACCGGGAACCCTGTTGGCTATGGGTAGTATGGGTAGGGGGGGCTCCCTACTCTTGCTCCCCTCTCCTCCCTACCTGGGTGGGGTGGGTGGCCGGAGGGACACTCCTGATGCAGGGAGCAGATATCTAGGTACACGGCTCTCAGTCCCCAGGGCAGGGAGGCTGGGTGAAGCTCCAGTCCTCACACCAGTTCTGGGTGGGGTGGCCTGCATTCATGTGGTCCCCCAGCTCCGCCCTGCTTCACGCCAGAGCTGGACCCATTTTTCAGGCCTTTTCTGCCCTTTCCTGACGGCCTGACTAACCAGTCCCCAGCCTAAGGTGTGGGGGTGAGGCCCCTGAACCTCGGGGTGCTCTGCGTGCATGCAGGATATCATGGGGCTCCCCGAGAGGCACCCTCACCCTTGGCGATTCCTTCTGGTGCTGAGGCTGGGCGCGTGGGATCCCGGGACGGGTGATCTTGGCCAGACCTAAGGCACTGGGGTATATAGTGCTGGGGTGCTGGACCCTGCGAGCCCCGCACCAGCACCTTCAGTGGCTGAGGCCGCGCTTTTAGAGGGTGGCTGTACTTGGCGGGGTGGGGGTGGGGGGTGAGGTCAGGGCTGCAGGCTGCGTCTAGTTGACCCTCTCCCTCCCACCTACCCCCACCCCCGGTCAGCAAGACAAGGCCTGTGTCTGCCTTTCCTCTGGTCCCTATCTGTCCTCCGTCCTGCAGCCTCCAGGGGCTTGCAGAGCCCACAGACCTATTGACTGGTGACTGTGCCCTCGTCTTGCACCGACTGCCGTGTGAGGACCGGACCCGGGGCTGCAGAGACGCCCCTGGGCTGCAGAGACGCCCCTGGGCGGCTATGACTTCGGCGGCTCCGCCCCCCGCCGCCTTGGATTGGGCTGCTCGGGGAAAGGAGGCGGGGCTTCGGGACCAACTTCGTGACTGACAGCTTCCCCTACAGCAGACTCCCCCACCGGCTGGTAGTTCTTGCCGTCGCCACAGGGGGGCGCGGGCGAACCGCGACCACGTGACCTCCCGGCAGGGTGAATAAACCTGATCTGGTGCCTCCTGGGTCACAGGAAAAACCGCTCAGCCCAAATTTAGGGCCACCCCACGTGTGGGCTGTGAACTGGGTTAGACTCAGCTGTGCCACCCTAGGTGCGATCGCCATCTTTACTCTGTGTCTGAGGCTCCCACTCTGCCTGCACCTGCCCCCAACACCTGCATGAGACCCTCCCGTGTGGACAAGGGCTGATGCAGTCAGGTGTCCTGGTGGCCTGGGACTTGCTGAGTGATTGGTGTGGATGGCTCGTCCCAGGCCCCAGGGACCAAAACAAGTGCCAGGCAAGTGGTTCATGCCTGTAGTCCCAGCAGCTTGGGAGCAGAGGTAGGAGGATCATGCGGTGCTACCAAGACCAGCCAGGGCAAAAGATGAGTCCTTATCTGTAAAAAAAAAAAAAAAAAAAGCAAAATAAGGGATGGAAGCGTGGCCCAAGTGGTAGAACACCTGCCTAGCAAGCAGGTCTTGAGTTCACACCTCAAGACTGGAAAAAAAAATGGCAACAGAATTGCACAATCTGGTTCCTCCTGTGCTGGCTCTCAGTGGCCTCTGCTGCCCTCAGGTGGAGCTCTAGAGCCTTCCCCTGGCATACCCACAGCCATCCCTCTATGAATAGCCTCCTGAGCACAAAGAGGCTGCCATCACTCCCTGGGCCACCTGAAGGCCACTTCAAAGTGTCCCTGGCAGCACTATGAGGTAAACACTGTGTCCTACATGGCCAGGGTGGGGGTAGAGGGAAAAGCGCTGGGGGAGGCCTCGCTCCAACTGAGGCCCAGAAATTGAGGGCTGATGCAGAGGGAAGAGCCAGGCTGGTTGAGGCTGTTTATACTCTGAATGAGGTCCACTGTCCTGCAGACCCAGGGGCCTGGGGATGCCATCTGTACAAGCTGGGAACCACAGGACATTGGAAAACTGCTTGTGTTTTTCAAAGTCAGCTTGCCCTGATTGGGGACGACTGGAGGCTGCCCACCTTCAGTGTTCTGCTCGAAGCTGGGGCCAGCCACCATGCCAGGGTGACACAAAATCAAGGTCACTGCCAGGCACCAGCACCCCATGCTGGCCTGGGAGCCGACCAGGGCTTTTTGCCCCCCTCCCCCCAAATACTGAACCAGAGGTGCTAGTCACACCCGCTAACCATTTTTGGTGTGTTTGAAAGTCCTAGAACTGCCGGGCGCTGGTGGCTCACGCCTGTAATCCTAGCTACTCAGGAGGCTGAGATCTGAGGATCGCGGTTCAAAGCCAGCCCGGGCAGGAGGGACCGTGAGACTCCTATCTCCAATAAACCACCAGAAAACCGGAAGTGGCGCTGTAGCTCAAGTGGTAGAGCGCTTGCCTTGAGCTGAAGAGCTGAGGGACAGCGCCCAGGCCCAGAGTTCAAGCCCCACGACCGACAAAAAAAAAAAAAAAAAAGAAAGTCCTAGAACTGTTTGGGAATGTGCAGGAAGGCCATGGGCCAGAACTTCATGGCTCAGAGGGAAAACAAGTCCACTGTGAAAAGGAAATCCAGCGGGGATGGTGGGGTGACTGGCAGGTGACTCATCAGACCCCAGATTAAAGGCATCAGGGATGGAGCAGGCAGGGACAGGCCTAGGGCGACTCCCTCCCTCCCGGCTGTACCTGCTGTGCCTCTCCATTGGAGCAGGTACTAGGGCTTGAACTCAGGGCCTGGGTACTGTCCTTGAGCTTTTTCTGCTCAAGGCTAGCTCCAATTTGGGTATTTTGCTAGTTCACTGAAGATAAGCGTCTGTCAGAATTGTCTGTACTGGCTTCAACTCTCCATCTTCAGATCTCAGCTAACACAGAGATGATTTTGATAATGATAATAATAATGAGATGCTTATGTCTTCTGGTTTTGTGTGTGTTGGTTCTGGGGCTTGAACTTGTCACTTGGGAGCTATCCGTGAAACTTTTTTTTTTTTTTTTTCCTCAAGCCTGGCTCTTTCTCACAGCTCCACTTCAGACTTTTTGGTGGTTAATTCAAGATGATAAGTCACAGACTTTCCTGCCCGGGCTGCTTCTCCAATGGTGATCTCAGATCTCAGCTTCCTGAG